AAAGAGAATTTTTGTTTGTGCTAGTGTTTACAAGCTCTCTAACGTTAACTTACTGGTAATAGTTCTGATGGCTTACATTTTCTGACTTATTTATTCTAACTTTTCTTGAAGATCCCCAAGAGATCACCTTCAGGCTCATAACCTGTAATTTCTGCCTCATTCCCACCCACTGAAAAGATGCTGCACTTCCTCCCATGGAAAGTTTTCCATGATTTTGTATAAATAAATGAGTTGAGTCCAAGAGTTAATCTCAACAGATGTAGCAAGGCACTATTAGAGCTTGAGCCAGGATTAAAGGATTTGGCAACGTACGAAAATTGATAGCAAGCGTAGTATATATTTAGATGAATGCAAGGTCAGCTAAAGGTTAAAAAAATCACTACACACCTTAACCAAAGGAGGAAAGCACAGGCTACTGTTCTACGCAAACATTTCTGCAACAGCTACTATATCTTTATTTCACTTTTACGCCAGGGTCTGCTAAAACTGGAAGATACATGAGGCTTTAAGGGGAAAAGTCAAAGTAACAGTAATAATTTTTAGTGTACCAGGAGGGAATTCAAAGAAATGAGGAAGTAGCAGCAACATAAATGGCAAATGAAACATTCTTTGAGACATTTTGATCGTTTTTTTGTTTTGACACAGGCTGAAGTTTGGGATAAATTTAATGCAAAATTTTTTCTCTTTTAGTTTGAAATCATGCTGGGCTAGAAACACCTAACACTGAACCATCAACTCTTTTTTTTTTTTTTCTTGATTGGCTTTCGTGAGCAGAATTTTCACTACGTTGTTTGCCAAGTAACTACGTATTAGTGGCTAGGGCAGGGAGCAGGGTGCCCTCACCTAGTTTCCCAAAGTACAGCTGGCATACCAGTGCAGCTCCTGTTCAGAAGGTACTCACCCATTTCAGAGGGGCACCAGTTACGGGAGGAACAGGATTGTTAGTCCTTTTACCCCGAACTCTTGTAAAAGAGAGTTGAACATCTTCGCCACAAAAAGTCCTCTAAAATTCCTTTTAGTCACAAAAATAATGTCTGTGTGGGATGGTAGATGTTAATCATCCATTCCTGGATAACATTCCCACTTGCTGGAGCGGCTGAGCTAGCAGGCAGCTGAACGCGGAACGTTACTACCAAAGGTCACACACGCTCCTACAGCGAGGTGTGAGAAATCTCCACTGCTCAACTCGAGAAATGCATTCGCTCCTATGGCGTTCGCTGGCTGGGGACAGCGAGGGAAATGCCAGCACACGCGTGTGAGCGCCCGTGCAAACTTTTGCTGCCTACAGAACAAGGGCAGAGCGGATGCACGCAGAGGAGGGAGCTCGTGGCAAATCAGTTCAGACATAGCTTTGCCCAATCTGTCACTGCAGTTGGCACTGTTCTCCAAATGGAAGTGGCCATCTGGCTGAGAAATGACGTCACTGGTGACATGTCCACTGGGCTCTTGCACATTGCTGTTTTGCAGGTGATGTCATTCAGCAGGCAGATGGCTGCCTCTCGCACAGAGTTCCCCAATCGATGCACGTGAACCAGAAATCAAACTTTGGCTTCTCATCTAAGAACTGGGGTTTCCAGTGACCCTAGCCACAAAAACGTGCTCTGCCTTCCCCGGCCATTTTTACTAATTGGTACCCTACGTTCACATCACATACACGTTATTTATTACAAAAAGATGCACAAGAAAAAGAAAAAAGCTCTCAACTAACAGCTTGTTTTACTCCTGACCAATCCAAGATAGAACACATCCCTTGCTGGGAAACCCATTCAGTCTTAAAAAAAGCCTGCGTTCAGGTTCAGCATGGAACATGGTTTAAAAGCCTGCAGCTTCAAAACCAGTTCAGGCTCATGTAAGCACAGGCTGGTTCCAAAAAGTCCAGTCCACCTCTGGTTACGCACGCCGTGCATTGCTTTATGTCCCCTCCAGCAGCTGCGCAGCTCGCTGTCGTGCAGTAGTGCAACTAATGAAACTATTCCCAAAAGACAGCATTATTAAGAACATCGAAAGGCAGTTATGCATCAAAAAAGGGCCTGTCCCTAGTGATTCAGCTGTCTGAAACAGTTACTGATTGAAAAGACAAAGCATGAAGAAAAAGAAGAGGAGAACAAAGAGGGCTGGAAGGCTGTTAATGTGGAGGTGGCTGTAATTTAGGTAACAATCTTACAATGAAAGCAGTGACTCACTGAGGGCATTTGAAAAGAAAAAGGCTTGAGGGAAAATGTCTTTAAAATCATTTTACTTTAAGCAGAGAAAATGATAAAGAAGCCTAGTGGGTTGTTTTGTTCTGCACAGGATTAAGTGTCTTGCAATGCAGGCATTAGATCAGGTATTGGGAGAAAGGCACTCACAACTGTAACACAGAAACGTGAAGGATAAGAAAAATGGTGATTCATTCCCGACGGATAGCTCTGGCTGGCAAAGAGTAAGTTGACTGCCATGTGCATCAAGCTACAGTTCAAATGGAACCTACTTGCAACCTCTCAGATTTGCGTTCCTGTTGAGGTCCGTAGACCTGTCTCTTGTCCACCTGCACCAGGCAGAGAACGCCCATTCTCGCACACAGGAACGCACCCCTGCCCAGGCATACACAACTCACAGCTGCTTTAAATGCACAAAACCAGGTCAGTTCTTTTAAGTCAGTAAGTAATTTTTCCCACGTTTGGTAAAACCTTGCTCTCCTCCTGTCGAGACACGATTTACCACATAAGCCAGGGTCCATCTGATAAAACCTTGTCCCTTTCCTAGCACAAAGCAAAAACCTGAGAAGTAACATGAACAAACTGTCCAAACATTTGATCTTTGGACCTCGTCCTTTTATCTGATCCCAGAACCACAACTATCTGTCCAGACAGCCTTTCCTGATTTATTAATTAAAATGACTGGATCAACAGATTGCTATCACGTTTACAATGGCTATCGCTCCTAAATGGGAACAGAATTGTTTGCCTAAAAGCTTTAACGGATGCACAGCTTCATCAGTCCTTATACACATTGCTATAACAACATTTTTCACCTATACACTCCTTTCTAAGTGTTCATGAAGTATGATTCTGTACTGAACTGTAACACATCTCTAGGTCTGGTGTATCAACACCAGCAAGAAATTTCCTTTCTCTGAATTCTCTTCTCGCTGCAGCAGCTAATACGGTCAAAAAACTTCATTACAACAGGAAACGTACTTTTTCTGTACACTCACGGCTTATGGGCCTTCAACTTGAAACACAGGTTAAAAACCCCTCTCCCCTCTTTGTACACCACCAGAATTTGCATCTCTTGGTAGCCGATGGTGCTTCAAGGAAATGAAAAGCTCCGAAAATGAATGTGAATCCGTAGTTGTGTGAAGAGATATGTTTATGTGGTAATAACTGAGTTAGCATAGCTTATGAAATTACTGCCTGCCAACTGAGATACTGCTGTTGAAAACCACCCCTGAGCTAAGGAGCTTTACTCTGCAGTCAGCGGGAGCAGAAAGCATACAGATGGTCTGTTACCCTATCTCAGCTGACAGGCAGGAACTTCTTAAAACACGCTAACTTCGTTTCCTGCATTTGTGCAAACACATTCTGAGAGGTACTGAAACATATTCTGGCTGCTGCATTTCCAATAGTGCGGTTCACCGGCCATGATCTGATTCACATTGTGAAAGACTCCTGCTTACAATTTAAGACACAAAATTATTCCACCCCTAATTTTCTGTTAAGCAAAAATATGGTGCTGTATTTCTGCAGCTGTTCAGATCTGTTGTGTCAGTAGACTGACTGTGAACAGATAGAGACAAACCCCTTTCCAAGCCGTTTGCTCATCAACATATCTTTATGCCGGGAAAGCACAATGGGATTGCTCTGATCTGAGAGACAGAAGGCAGTGACAAACTGCAAAACAGCTCCCTTGCTTCTCCTGTCTTTAATCACCGGTGATGCTCTTCATAGCTACTCACAATTGCGGCCAGGCTGATGGCAAGCGGGGAGCTTGCACTGAACGATGGAATCCACGTTCTGCGCAGGGACGCCATACACTTGGAATCAAGCAGCTTTGCGCAAAGTGTCTGCGCTCATGCGCAGATCACAAAGTAGTTTTGTTTTGTTTTATTGATTGGCTTGGAAGTTAAATGTGGCATAGCTTGATTGTTTCAAGTAGTACTAAAGCACTTCGTTAATGTTTGATAGTACAGCAAATACAGCTTTAGGCCACCTAAGATCAGGAAAAACGTGCCGCAAAGACGTAACGTGGGTCAAACCCAGAAGAACAACAGTAAAGTCTGTTCAAGAAATATCAATATGTTAACTGTAGAAACAAATTTAATTTCAGAGCAGGTATCATATGTCCACACTGCTCTGATTTTACAAATGAGATGTTATCTGAAGTTCCACATCTGATATAAAGCCAAGAAAAGCTCTACCTCACGTGCTCTGGCTAATCAGACAGAAATGTAATCGTATAACTAAAACTCCATTCAGATGGGATTTGTAGGGTTTGGAGACCAACCTGGATCTGGCACAGAAAGGTCTGTCAGGGAAAATCTGAGGTACTTTGAGAAGCCTTTCCAGGCCAAAACGTACAAGCGTCTGGTCAATTCTGACCTCCAGAGCAAACTCATAATCCACCTACTCACAGGCAGCAAGTGCAGTGTAAAAATCCTCCTACTCAAAAGGAGCTGAAACATGAGACATTACAGTGTGAGGAGGTAAAAAAGTCAGTTACCCCAACCTTCAGTAGCTTTTGGGGTTTGGTTTTTAAATAAAGACTTTTAAAAAAAAACAAAACAAAACAAACCTAATGAGAAAATCCAAGCTAGGGAATAACAACTCTTTTGGAAGGAAAGTGTCATTTTGACACAAAAGTTTGGTACCTAATTCCCAGGTCTTTTAGGATCTTTTGAAAATTCAGTCTAAAATGTCTCTGCTAGAACACTTACAGAAACTGGTAATATTAACCCAATGCAATAAATGCAGACATGAAAGCACAGGTTAGCTGGGTGCCTTGTCCAAGTCAGTGGCAGTGTCTTATCAACCCGCTTTCTCCGAATCCTCTACGTTCCGCCTGATTTAGGTTTAGACAGTGGAAGGAATGGCATGATTTGAATAACAGTGTCAGCTGCTTTGGAGGGAGTGCAACAGTGTCCGCTAACGTCAGGCCAGCTGTCGATCCAAGGGTCATGGCTATCCTAACTCACACAACACAGAGAGAGGGGAACTCCTCGGACACCAACGCAGGGACACTCCGCTTACATCAATGAGTAACCCTGTGCAGGCGCAGCACTACTACGACCACACTGTGGAGTTTCCTGCCTCTATTTAAGTCGCACTATCAAGTCTGATGCTTGTACCCACCTGAAATCCATGTTTGCCTCTCCACCATGTGGTCAGCTCCTTTGGTGGCATGTCAATAACAGACACGATGTCTCCCACCTGCAAAAGATTGAAAACATTGATCGCAGCTTGCAATGCAGCTAAGGAGGAAAGCGCAACTCAAACACTGCATTCCTCAGCGCTGCAAAAAACTGTAAAACCTGTGAGCAACTTCACCAATGCCAATCTTGAGACATCTGCCTTTGTAAAATCCAACTGTGAGGTAGAAGAGTTGCTGCGTTATACTCCGAGCAGGATACAGCTGTTCATAAGGAAACAATTCTGAAAAGCGGCAGGCTCTCTGCCAAAGGGTACAGAAACGTTCTGATTGAACTGCAGACATAAGTAAGCAGTGATAGCATGAAGCACTTTGGAAAATAGTCTCAAGTAGCTGAACTAATTTTTACTACATGCCCTATAGATGTGTACGTAGGCATTGACATAGGTCTCCTTGTTTCCTTTCACAGCAAAAAGTTAAGAGCTCTTGGTGTAGCTCACACACTGCCCAAGACGTGCTTTTCTTAATTAGAAAACAGAGGAGGTGGTGTGGTGTTATGGCAACTGGAAGGCACATGACCAAGGAAACCAAACGGGTTTTCTGAAGTTTTGTTCATTCCCATTAAAAATGTCATGCTGCAATAATTCAAAAGGAAATCACTATCATTGATACTAAATTTGGCTTTGTGGGAATCAAGATCTGTAAGAGAAAATGAGATAGCCCAGAGCACAGAAGGGGCAGAACCTAAATAAAGACTGCAGCTAGGTATAGCAAGAATTGTTAGCAGTAATGCCCAAACTTACTGGATGTTTTGCATTGATGGACCTCAAAGTGCTTTGCGAAGAAGATAACACATCCCCATTTTTCAGACAGGGATAACTGAGACACCGGGGAGTGAAGCAATTTCCTCAAAGGAAGAGCAAACCAAGAGCAAAGCAAATTTCCATTAAGGAAACCGCCATCACCACCACGCGCAGAGAAGTCGGGTATCTTCCTCAGTATTGGGGAGCAAATGCCAATCAGCTACTTTTGCAACTGCCTGTTAGAAATAACTATAGCCTAAATGTAAAGAGATAGTCTGGGTTAGGGAACAGAGCGTGACACTGAGAAACAACCGATCACATTCCACTTCTGTTCTGCCGAGGTTTCTCACTGGGCAAACCTGGAAAGCCACACGTGCCTTGGTTTCCCTGGTTGTACACTGTAACCTGTTGGACTGCGTGGCAGTTGCAAGGCTGAGGTACAGCCTGCTGGCACGCAGTTACAAGCTTTACAAGCATGGAGTGCCATCTTAGTGCTTTTTTTAATGCTGAGACGCTCTCAAACAGCCTGCATCCTGTACTGCACGCATTTTAACCTGGAAGATGACAAACCCACGTGTCTTTCTGATTGGTGCAGTTCTTTCGCTTCGATTTTGAATATGAACCAAACCCTGGCCGCACCAGACTATCGCTATTATTTTTACTTTCGGCATTGCACGCTAAGAACATGATCACAAAAACTCCTTCGGGCATCAACTGTTTTCCTTTACACTTTTTTGTATAACACCGTGAATACTCCATTGATAGTACCACTGCACATGAACAATCAGAGCATAAAATGGTAGAACAGACAAGAGCCAGATACCTAAGGACTTCCCAGGTCTGATATTCCAGATCTTTGCTCCACAGCAGCTCCTACTCTACATCGAGTAAGATTTTTGGAACAGTATTAGATTGTCATCTGCCCTTTAAGTTCCAAATTCTTTCACAATCTGGTTCTTTACTTTTCATGGGAGCAGAAGCTCTTAAATGTGGTTTTAGACACAAACTTACTAACAGGAGCACAGGTTGTGTATACTGACCAGCGAATAATTACACTTGCATGTTTCCACACACATACATATGTGGATAGTCTTCCTGAACAGGTATGACATACTTTTAATCCACTGCAGAGTACAAACTATGCAGGGTCTGCTGCTCAGAGTACTGGGCAATATCTGTTTAATCAGAAGATACTAATGCCAAGAAAAGCTGTATTTTAAAGATGACTCTATCCAACCCATTGCAAATCGAATATTTAACTGAATCTTCTAAGCTTCACCTCACAAAACATTCTGGAAGTGTCTGAATATATTCTGAATACACACACACGTTACGCTCTTCTGTATATGACAACAAGGAACATAAGCTCCCTTAATTATTTACCTCAAAGGACAGCTCGTCTGCTGCCTGAGCGATATATCTCTTAATAACATGGGCAGCAGCGATAGCAGGAACGTTAATGGATGATTCCTCATGGACTAGCAGGTGATTCCCCTTGTTATCAATCTGAAATAAAGAGCAGAGGAGACTGTGAGGCAGCTGAGGACAAGTGAGGAGGCATTTTATTGGTGCTCACACATGGCAGAGACTTCAAGCTGATTCACAGAGACAGCACAGTCCGGGGGCCCCCTGAGGATTGCAGCGCGGAGAGAGCGCAGGGCACAGCACAATTCATAAAGGTCGTACGTCCCCATCCAACTAATGACAAAAATGCTGTGTTTGTGCATCTTTGTGTACAAACAGTAACACCACAGTGAGTGTTTACACCTCCCTGCAGCACCAAGCCATGTTGTTTTTCCTCAAGTACTTAAAATGGCAAAACAAAAATGCCTACGAAAATTCTCTGGAAAGTGGAATTAATGCTCAAGAGTGAGGCACTGAAGTAAGGAGGAGATGGTGTCAAACCGAAAAATAGT